ACTGTGCAGATGAAGCTTTGTAAGAGAAGTCATTTAAACAAAACCTAGTGAAAGCTAGATCTTAAACAATTTTCTATACACATATTTGCTTAGAAAAAGATGAGGAGGGAGTGATTTAGACTCTTTTTTAGTACAAATGTGTTTAAACCCACACCGGTAAAGAGAGTTGAGAATGAATCTAGTATAGGATCTACTATAGTGCTTTGATCCAGTATAGATCAAAGTATGATCTAGTATAGATTTAAGTATGATCTAATATAGATCAAGATCTAGTATACATCAAAGTGCAATGAAGGATTATGCTAAAGAATAATGCTACCCTAGTCTGTTTCTGCTTGATGTTATATTACATCCTGGTGTTTGGTCCTAGAGGGGCACTGAAATACATTTGTGATTTCCTTTTCAGTTTCCCCTTTTGATGGGACGCCTCACAAAAGGGCAATGCTGTACCCTGATGTCCCCTAAGGTGTTGCAGGTATTCTGGATACAGGCTTCAGGATCCTTAGTCCTTCTGGACCTTTCTGTGTTGGTAAAAGGGAGATGTAGGGCGGACTATCTGAAAAGCTGTTTGCAGCAGTATTGCACTTTCTGATGCTCTGATAACAAGCACTGTACTTTGATCTGGTAGCAAACACTTGAGAACAAGCAGTTCTGAAAGCAAAAGCAGGGCTGTGTGGTTAAAGGGCTGGCCAGAAATTGTGGTAATATAGATTCAATTATATGCTCCTCCACAAACTTTTCGTGTAGTCATGGGCAGGTTGATTATTCTCATCTTGTCTCGATTTCCCCATCTTTCACAAGAGGCTCATATTTTCCTTTCTCTGGGTGTTGAGAGAAAATAAATGCTTAATATTTTTGGAGTATTAAACTCCTCTGTGGAGAAGAAGATAGATATCAATAGGGGAACCGAGCCCTTGCTTTGGAAAGATGACTTGCAATTTCAAAGAATAGGGCAGAACATCAGAAGTCAAAAAGGCATATTGAAATTTTCAAGAAGCAACACTGATTCAGAACATGTTCTGTTTGCAGCTGCTGGGGTGTGAAACTTCTTCCACGATGTGACAACCAGCATGAAATACTTTATTGCTCATAACAAATACAGATGGACAGATATCAGGGTGAAATGAAGGGCAGGGGCATTTGCAAACTGACAGAGCGAACCTTCTCCACAGGCTGCTTGGAAATAAGCAGATCTTAATCAGCTCTTCTGCCTTTCATTATCTTCAGAAATCCTTTACAGTTAATATTCTCCAGTGGAAGACTAAAATGCTTTTAGGAAACGCATGTTGTTTTATGAGACTCTTCCTTTATTTTAAGGAGGTTGTCTAAAATGCTAATGTTTCTCTTTTCATCACGATTCATGGAGCTTGTGCCTTTCAAGCTTACCATTTCAGATTCAGCCATGGGAATTGGATTATTTCATCTGCTGTCCCTTCTCCAGTGTTACTAATCAAGACATTTGTTGTTTCTAGCCTACTTGAACACGATGCCTGAATTCCTGGCTTGGGGATCCACATTGGTTTTGAGTCAGGATTGAGTTCTCTGCCTGCTACATGCAGCAGCACCTGTGGCAGTGCTAGGCATGGAAAATACTCCCAAGGGGAAGATATTCACACTAAACTTTTAGTCTGTTAATGTAAAAAAATAAAATGGGATGAAGAAGGCGTCTCTAAAACATGAGTAGAAAGCTAATAATGTACTTTCACTCACAGGTGATGGGGCTGTCTCAGTCCATGTAGTAAATCATTGAGACTGTTGGTCAAACAGGCACGGCACTGAGTCAGTTTCTACACTACAGGTCCTACAGAACAAGCAGTGCAATACCCTCCTTACCTGCACCGTGTAGCCACATTCCTAAAGGTTTGGGTTACAAGATGGTGGAGAGGAGGAATTCATAGTACCACTGAAGCCCATGCACTTTGCTACAGTGTGAGGACACTGCGTAGATACCCAGGAGGGGATCAGCTATGGAACCAGCTAAGCAGTGTACGGGAGTGAGCTAAGGTAGGGTATGTCGGCTGTTGCAGCTTCCATTTGGCTGTATAAAATTCAACAATGCATTTTTCTGGTACATCACTCCTTCAGTCACTTGGGATTGTCATGCCATCATCCTGAGATGCTGCAGTTGCTCAGAGAGGTTTTCCAAGAAAGAAAGAGTGTGAGACTCCTACATTTCATTATCTAAAACTAATAACAATAAAAAAGAAAAATAAAAAATCAGACCCGGGATGTGCTCAGATGTTACAAAGTAGTGTTACGCGACCAAAGCTTGACCCTGTTTACCTTTGCAGGATATATATTCAGAAAAAGCCTTATCAGTGCCAATCAAACTCAGACAAAAAAAAACAAAATCACATTTTCCTGATGGGCTATTGTTTATTTATGTGGCACCCCTTGCTCCTAAATTAGCAGAGAGAATTTATATATTGCCTCAAGTATACAATGCAAATCTTTGCTTTTTGGCTGTCCTTTCCTTGTCAAGCACCATGCCAACAGAGCAATAATCATACAAAGCACAATTAATGTGGGTTTGTGTGCAGAGAGGAGTTTCTATTCCCTTCCCTTCTCCTCACTAAATAGCTTGAGCTTGTTGATCTGCTGTTGCAACGCATTATATACGTTAAATATTTTCCCAGAAAAGAATCACTTTGCATAGACTCGTTCCCAGCACAGACATCAAAACAGAAAAGAAAGATCTTATTTTACTTATTTCACATAAACCCTAGTGGATGGGCTTGTGAGGAACTGCAATTGGTGCAAGCAGCAGTAATCTTAAACTGAGCCCACTGAACTTAAAGAACTGGGGTTTCTTAAATTATTGTGATTTTTAGTGTTATTATGGGTGGGTTTAAGTGTCAGTCAGATGTTAGGTTTTCATTTTTTTTCAAGAGTGTGAGCCCAGAATTAAGATGCTGATGGATTTTGCTGTGTTGTTAGAAAGGGAATTTCAGGTTCCACCAGTAAGAAAGGTCTAGTGAAACAAACCTCAGAAATTGGGTCTAGAAATCTGGTCCTGCTATTTGAACTATTCTGTTAAATGGCAAAACTCACACTCATTTTAGTGGGGTGGAAACCATTCCTTAGTTTGGTGCATGGGATACTTGTATGGGGACACTTGTGGTCCCCTCTGGGACCTGTGAGAACCAGCTCCATCACTTTGTTATTGGGATGGACCTGAGGAGTTACTGACATCTCACAGCTGAATAAAACTATTTAAATTCAGCTCATTAAGAGCAGGTGTTAGGGTATGTTTCCATTAGGAGGAGCAAGTGCTGTTACCTGCAGTCAGCAGTCACCAGTTAAAACAGACAGGCTTTGCTGGGCTGACACAGACGGCTGTGCAGCGGTGCTGAAATGCCTTTTGCTGTTATTGAAGAAGACACGGGAAACAGTAAACATTTTAAGTTTTAATCTGTCTTTCAAATTGAGCCCAGGCCTTTATGGGCTGCAGAGTACAAAGACAGTCTGCCATCAGAAATGCTTACAAACATTTACTGCTTGCTTTAGGAAGCCCTCTGAGAAATTCCCAAGGAACAGGGACCAGCACTGCCTGTGGGAAGTAGGAGTTTCTGTAGGAAATGCCTTTATTCTTATTTTTATTTATTTTTCCTGCATCAGACCTACTTGAACATATTAAAATAGTTTGTGGGGAGTTCTTGTTTGATTTTGGTGGGATAGTCAGAAACCTGAAGATAAAAAGATGACTTAAAGACATATCTAGTTAAAAGGGCACTGGTCACTGATGGGCTGAAGGCCTGGTCATCTTTATGTAGTCAGAGAGAGTCCGTTGTGAAAATCAGTGACAATCTACAAGAACTCATAGCCTCAAGGGAGGGGTTGCGTTCTGCAACTTGATCTTGGGTAAGAAATGGTACAGTGAACACAGCCCTGAGGAAACGTCCTTTCACTGAATCAAATGACTCTGTTCCAACATGCCCGTAGGCCTTGCAGACTCTTAAAATTTTTGGTTTAGGAATTTTATAAATCTCTGGTTATGACACTTTATTGTTGTTCACAAGTTTCACTGAACCTGCACTACTGGCATTGTGGTCCTTCTGAACCACTGCAGAAAAAGGACCAAAAATAACAGAAGCTGAGAAGCAGTCAAAGACCAGCCAAGGAGAAAAGCTGCCATAGAGGCTGGTGGCTGTTTCACTGCTTTCAATTTGTCCTCCCTCTGTCACAAGCATTCTGTTTCTTGAAAGAAAATGAAATTGCTATGCAAATAGAATTTGCTTCCAGAAGGAAAATTTGCTTCCAGAAGGAAGCAAATGTTTGGAGAGCTGACTTGGCTGGAATTTTCTCTGCACACACGCTCCTGACATATCAGTGCTTAAACTTTGTGTGTGTGCGTGAGGAGGGGCAGGGAACAGTCAAATGTTAGTGAAGATGTCTCCATCTGTTCCATTATTCGAGCATGTAAAGATGCTTGTCAGCTCTCATAGTCCTTGCTCTTTTTTCCAGGTGGTCTCCCCGCTCAGATTTCACATCAAAAACAGCAGTGAAGATTTATTTTTTCTAGCACATGTAGGAGGGATCCCAGTAGTCCCATCCTTTTTGCAGAAAGCAAATATGGAATACAGCAGAAGTTTAATTTATAGGTTCTTTACATTAGATCTTGAAGATCATTACCCTTTATTTTTGAAATAAATACAGGTCAACCCCAGACCACATGTGGTTCTTTGTCCTCACATGCAGAGCACAAAATGCTTCACTTCAGCATTGTGCTCTCCTACTCCCAGTACTCCCTGGAGCACTCAAAAATGTCCTTACCAAAAACCACCTGACATGGTCACCATCTAGATGCATGAGAGGACAGTAAAGCCTGTCTTAATCTAAGGGTTGTCCTCCCTCTGGACCACCCTTACGCAAACCATCCTGTGCCAACGCTGATGATCTAGCAGTTTTGTAGCATTTCGGATCGACTGTCAGGAAGCTCTGATGACTGGCGATTTATCACTGTTCACAAGCATGCTTTTTTTCTGTCTTCCCCACTGCAGATCTGCGCAGGATGACAGCTGGCTTCATGGGCATGGCCGTGGCCATCATCCTGTTTGGATGGATTATCGGGGTGCTGGGGTGCTGCTGGGACCGAGGCCTTATGCAGTATGTGGCGGGGCTTCTCTTCCTCATGGGAGGTAAGGATATTGGCATCTGAAGAAACCTGTTCTTTTCCTTCCTGTTTTCATGCTCCTTCTTTCCACATGCCCCTCATTTTCTTTGTCACCTGAAAACATGTTTTCAGAGTTGTTTCAGGTGATCTGGACTTGGTTTCATGCTGAGCTCCTTCTGGTGTATGTCAGGAATAGTAACAATATTTACATGTTACTTCTGTCACAAAGCAGCGTCCATAAACCAGAGGGCTGGAAAAGGCCTTGAGTTGTTGAGACCACTTCCCTATTGACATAAGTAACATGCTGTCACAGAATCTCCTCTCCCTTCCATGCTATCAGCTTAATAAACTTAGTAAAAAAAATCTGAAGATGAGGCAAATGTTATTCCCACTACTATCCTATTTCATTGTGAGAGACTTTGCTTTGATAGCTGGAAACCATGCTCGGAGTTTTAACCTGTATTTATTCCCAGTCAGTGGTCCTTGAGTCAAATACAACCTTTGGTTTAAGTTCTCTGATATATCTTTGAAGGGCAGCGGTATCCTCTCAGCTTTCCTCTTCCTACCCTAAATACAAATTTCTACTCCTGTAGACTTCCCTCTGTGAGACCAGTTATCAATCCAGCAGCCCTTTCTGCCACCTGTTCTTGGCTGTACTTGCCTCTCTGATGTAGATGAGAAGGGGCACTCCCAAATAAGTCTGGTCAATGTAGAGGTGCACGAAGGTTTCCTTGCTGTGCTGGAAATCCCTTGCCTGAAGTATTTTATGATTGTATTTGCCCTTTTCGTGCTGTGTCCCACCAGAGACCCACAGTCATCCTTCAGTTGGATAATACATCCAGGCCTTTCTCCTCCTTTGTAATTTCCTGCTGATCAGCTCCCAATTTACAGCAGAGGTTCCGTTTATTGGTCCCTAGACGCATGCCCTGGCACTCCATCCTTTTGAGCTTCTTTCTGTCTCAACCACACCAGCCCTCGGGGTCATCTGCTATTTCCTGTGCAGTGCCCCAGCCTTCCTTACTACAGATGCCACCCCACTGTCTGTCACCAGCAGGCTTCATGGCACGCAGTTACTTTAAAGGAGGGATGTGAGAGTTAAGTCCCAAACACAGCACTGGCTGAGTGTCTCAAATTGAACAGCATTGCTTCTGTTCTCTGATTGCCTTCTCTGCTGGTGGTTTTTGTTTGGCTGGGTCCTTGCCCTCCCAGCAGATCATCATTCAGTGCCTTCGGTCACTCGTACGATGCTGTGGCACAGCTACGAGTGTGAGATACTGGGAAGTGCACATGTAGACCCAGGAGAGGAGCTAAGTGCTCAGATAAGGAGTGTTTATGTTGCAGTGCTGTTGGTACTCCTGAGATAGATGCTGGCTGTCTCAGTGCCCACAAACATATTTGAAGGCTGCTGGTACCTTTTGCAGGCACGCACTGGTCTGTCTGCGGCTGGCTGCAAATGGTTTGTTGTGGGTGTTCGATACTCTACGGGCAATGGGTCTGCCAAATTAGATCAGTGTTTCTTAAGTAATTAAAGGCTTAATTTGTATGTGTTGCTATAATATGCTCAGATATCCGTGTGGTATTTAACTCACTACAGCATGACATTCAGATTAAAACATTACAAGTATGCTAAAGAAGTGCTAAGTAAATACACTTATTAGAAACTAGCTAAGTCTTATTTATTAACTGGAAATCACCAATATATATGGGGGAGGTTCTAGTGAAGAAGCTTATTTTGAAAGATGGCTGATTAAAGTTTTCAGGTGAAACAAGACTCAGTGTAACCATATGGAATGAGATGGGTTACTTATAACTTTACAAAGCCATCTTTTGCTATGCTCCAACCATAGACATTTCAGTAGGGACAGATTCAAGGTCATGCAGCTGGGAATAAACTGTGTCAGTCGACTTGGCAGAATGAGAAGCTGCCTCCCAGAAAGGAGAGACCCTGAGAAGGTCTCTGGGATCCCAGTTGCTGGGATCATCAGCTGCATAGGAGCTCTTGGTGCTGCTGAATGTGTCCCTTCATCTCTCAGACTTTTTGATGGGAATATGCAGTAAAAGCGTAAAGTGGGATTACCTCTGGGCAAAGCAAAACTATTTCTGGACATCCTAACCCGGTGTCCTTAAAAAGGAAGGATATGGAAAAGTTGGGAGAGGATTGCAGAAGAGCTACAACAATAACTCCAGGACTGGAAAACAAGGAAAACACAGCACGCCACAAAAAGCCAATTGCTTGAAAATGTTAAACAGAAGGTTTGTAATTGACTTGAACACAATGTGGAAGTACCTATGCAAGGAGAAGCCATCTGATAGTAGCATGCTCTTTGACTGAGTAGACAAAATAATAACAAGATCTAGCAGTTGGGAGCTGAAACTAATTGAAATGAGAGGCACCAGATTATTTTATCTGCCAAATTCTGTCAAGATGTGTGATATTTTTAATAAAGATGTGTTGGGAGGAGATCAACCATGTTTTCTGCTCCAAGCAGAGGCATGTGGATCAGGGCTACAAAAGGTTATTATCTTTGTTGCGCAAGACAGTGGCAGCTGCTACACCTTTCCTGATTTCTCTTAACAGCAAATGTGCACGAAGTAACATCTAGAAAATGAAGCAGCCAGTTAATAAGATACTCATTTAAAGCTATCTAATCTGAAAGGCAGTCACTATTAATGTTTTCCTGGTGTGTCACAAGTTACATGGGCATTCCTTCTACAGCCAATGAGTCTAATTTGTACCTTTTTCTTGACGGACAGTGTTAGGAGACAGCGCTGTTACTTCTGTCATCATAGAAATGCTGTCAAGATATCATCCCATCAGTGCTCAAAATGCACAAAGCCAGAGTGCCTTAGTTCTCTTTAGCTTTATTTTTCTGGTTCAACAGGGGGAAAAATGCTTTGGCAGGCTTGTGACGTCCAACCTCATTGCAAAAGACAGGTTAAGGTGGTAGCTATAATCAGTATAACTTTCCCTTCCATTTGCATTTCTGCTTGTTTAGGCTCTGTTTATAGCTTTTGTTCTGCTTTAATTTCCAGACAAACAGCTCTTCTGTAATGATCTCAGGGTTAAACATGTCCTAGCTTCAGATATCTGTGGGTTTGGTCCCTTATTGCCCATAATTCTTTCAACAGGAAATCTCAGTGGAGCACTGAGAAGTGTGTTGTGATAATCTAACAAGACCAGACATGGTTCCCATGGACCTCTGGTTCTTTATGATATTTACAGGACAGCCTTCTTGCTAGCCCATGTGGCGGTGCCTAATAAGGACTTGCTTTACTATGCTTGATCTAATTTCTCAAGCAAATGGCTGAAATAAGTCATTTGTGAAATGCAGGCCCTTATCTGGTATTAGTTCATCTGGAATCCAGCACATGTAAACCATGATTTAGAGCGTGTTTTACACTGTTATTCAGCATGTTTTGTAACAAGTTAAAATTATTAATAATTCATCTTTCCTGTTTAGTCCAAATGTATCTGTATCAACAGCAATCACAGAGCTCTTATGGCTTCCAATGTTCTTTTGCATAATTTGCTGTATTTATTGTAGGATTTGTGCTTGGATTTCTTATCTCGAATGACAACATTTGCGGGACCACAGTACGATTTTATTTTAGTGCCTCCTCTTGCACATAGCCAGATGGATACTGCAAGTTATGCTTAGTATTTCTGACCTCATTTTGCACGGTGGTACGGTTACATAGTTTCCTGTACCCCGAGTTGCACTGTCTGTTGTAGTTTCATTTCTGAGTTGTCAGGATGACTTTATCCTGCAAGGTGGAAGAGTTTCTCTTATGGCGATCTCCATGTGGTACTGCGCTCTTGTGTTTCAGTAGGATTGGTTCATTTTATTCATCTTACTTGAGACTGTTTAATTCTATTACAGAAGTGGGTCACACTCAAATTATACATTACTCCGAGCACATCCTCTTGCAGCTTCTTGCTTTTTCTCTACATGCAAATTATTGAAAATCTGTGCACCAGTAAAAGCTTCGTACTGGGCATGTCCTCCAGTAATTTTGCAGTTTTATAATAATTTCTGTAACCTTGGAGGCATCTGTAACACAGCTTCCAAATGTCAGAGGCCTTTGGCAAACATGATGCTTTCATGCATATCAAGTGCTTAGTGGTAGTCTGAAAAGGATTCAGTTAAACATCTACCTGAAATGCATGCGGGGCATTTATACATTGTGTTTTGACCAAAGCATTGTTTCCATGCACCAAAAAAAACATGCCTCTGCTTTTTGAAGTCCAGGCATGACCTCCTCATCATTTCCCAGGAAGTAGTCTTCACATTTCTGTACTCCTTTCAGTACTTCATCAAGTTATTTAAGAACACTTTTAGAACACTATTTAAGAGCTGATGATAAGCACACAAGGTATCTGTCCATCTAGTTAGGGGCTTTTCCACCTGCTCTCCACTACATTCATGCATAGTATCTTCTTGTTTCGGGATCTCAGATTCTGCTAGGTTGACAGTCCTTCCCCAAGTGTGCAAACCCAACCTCGCCCTGCCTGCTGTTGTTGTACTTGCTTTACAAAATCAGCTTTTGATTGCGATCCCTGACAGCCTGCTCTTTTCCCAGTTCAGTGCGTATTTCATTTCAGCCAGCTGTTTTGAAATAGCATTTTGGTTTCTTTATTCCTAGTTTTGGGACTTTGTACCCAAATGCTGCAGAACCCTTTTCCTCCTCATCAATGCCTGCCATGGAGAATATGGGGTGCAGGACACCCTCCCCTGCCCACCATGGTGCACGTCCCTCCTGAAATGCTGTCCCTTGTCCCAGCTGGAAATACAAAATTGTGCTTCTAATATCTTTGGTTTTTATTTTTTTTTCCAGTACTCGCTTCAGCACAGAATTATCCCTGACCAAATTACATCCCTGGCAAGAGCTACATCACTTGCCTTTGTAAATGTATTAAAAGACCCACAAAGAGTGACGTTTTATCAGCCTTATCAGAGCTCTGTCCTTCAGCTGCACACTCATGTATTTTCCCTTTGTAAGTTTGTCAGTGCTGAGAACACATTT